CAAACCCAGCACTTAATGCACCTACTTGGAAAAGTTTATTTAGTGGGAACCAAGAAGGGGACTGTCACTCTGAACAGCTCCATTAGCCTGGGTACAACCTCACCTGAAAAGCCTCAGCAAAAGGCAAAGTACACACCATTCCTGGCTCCCCAGTCCTGCCACCTCCCTACAACTCGGTCAGGAGATTGCGTGGGCTGATGGATCTGGGCACCTGCAGCCTGACCTGGCTCACTGCTTGGCCTTGTGATCATCCCCTTTGACATGGAGAAGGTGGGGTAAACAGGGTGGGGGAGAGGTCGATACAATCACCCCTTTTGGCAGCAGTCAGAGCAGATCCCTCGTTTCGCAAACCACATCCCGAGATGAGCAGTCACCACTGTTACCCAACACACGAGAGACAAGAGAGAAAAATCACAGCAGTGGAAAAATCCTGTTTCTCAAATCAGAAACACAGAAATCTAGTGTGATACTTGCCAAGCAAGCACGTGGTTCAGATTTGAAACCACTTTGTACGGTCTTGTATCAAAGACTGCTGAAGTCCCACCAAAGTGTGTTGGGAAAATTAATCAACACACTTCAAGTCTGGTTTAAGGTGTTTCTTTTGACAGCCACCCAACACATGAAGTACATCTTCAGTGCACTGGGAGTAGCCACACAAGCCTTATGCTCAATTCCAAAGGTTTGAAAATATCCAAGTAATGGCATTAGATCCATTCCCTGGCACGACACTGCAAAGGGCATTTCTGTAGAACATGAACCGTGCACAGGGGGTGAACATAGGAAATTACTGACTCTGAACAGATCTGTGAGAGCATTCTCACAAATGCGTCCTCAAACACCTCCAGGGATGGTGACTCCACCACTGCCCTGGGCAGCCCATTCCAATGCCTAATCACCCTTTCTGTGAAGAAATTCTTCCTGACGTCCAACCTAAACCTCCCCTGGTGCAGTTTAAGACTACGTCCTCTTGTCCTGTCCCTTGTTCCCTGGGAGCAGAGCCCGACCCCCATCTGGCTCCACTCTCTTGTAGAGAGTGAGGAGGTCCCCCCGAGCCTTCTTTTCTCCAGGCTGAGCCCCTCCAGCTCCCTCAGCCCCTCCTGGTGCTCCAGCCCCTTCCCCAGCTCCAGTGCCCTTCTCTGGACTTGCTCCAACGTCCTTCCTGAATTTGGGATCCCCTCTGCCCACACACAGAGCCGGGGTCACCCCCTTTCCAGCGGGTACTCACATCCTTCCCACGCCCTCGTACATGCGGGTCTCATCCACCAGCATCATCACCTCGGTGTCGGTGAGGTGGGCGTGCTTCTTGGTCTTGCTGAGCTGCTCAATCTGCAGGTCGGCCAGTTTCACCTTTTGCTGCGTGTCCATCACCTTGGCCTGCAGCTCCGTGAAGGCCTGGCCAGGGGAGGGAGGCAGAGTGAGGGCTGTCCAGGTGGGCAGCGGGGACACAACCGGACAAGGGATGTGGGGAAGGAGGGGATCAGCTGAGGGGACACGTTGGGGAGGACACGGGGGTAGGGGGACTGAGGACACGGGAGACACACATAGGTGGGGAGACACAGTGGGACACACCCATGGGTGAAGGGACACACAAGGGGGAGGACACATGAAACACACATGGGTGGGGGGACACAGTGGGACACACGGGGGTGGGACACACACGGGTGAGGGAACACCCAAGGGGGACGACATGGGAGATGCACGTGGGTGAGGGAACACACAAGACACACACGGGTGGGGGGACACAGTGAAACACACACGAGTGAGGGGACACACGATACACACATGGGTGGGGAGATGCACGAGACACACGTGGGTGAGGGGACACGCGAGACACACATACGGGTGGGGGAACACACGGTGAAGGGACACGGGTGGGAACACAC